CAACTGGGGGTAGTGGAGGAGAAGGACAAAGTAGAACCAAGCTTGACACCTATATATAAAAATGCCACAACAGAGTCCATTATTCTTTATGCTAGCTTTAAGTCATTTAAACATTTTTTTACAAGGGGAAAAAATCAATAGATGTCAATAGATGTTTCATAATCATTACTGCAGCAGTTTCGAGCTCAGACCTGTTCAATTTATAGAGCTATACGTGTAAGCTGCAATCAGTAAACGGTCATTTACTTTCCTGTACTGGGACAGAGCTGTGAGTTTCCACTGCATTGTGAACCTGTCTGAAGTCACCTCACTAGAGAGAGAGCTGCAGTAGTGTGCTTGGTCCTCCTGACACAAGAGAGATCCTACTGTAAACGGGAGGCAAATGGTCTGCCCGAGGTCGCACAGCCAGAGACAAGTAGGGAAAGGACTCAGGGCCACACTGTCCAACTGACATTTCATGATTCTTCTCACCAAAACATCAACTTCATAATATTTTATTTATTCAAGCAGTGTGACTCTGACTGGGTTAGCAAGGAGACTGAGTACACAGGGCATGGGCCCTGAGGCCCAGACCTGCTCTGGATAGAAACCCACACAAGACTGGAATGGACTGAGCGGAGTGTTGTGCTGACACTCGCGTCAGGGACTGACATCGTCACCCGTGCCTGGACACATGGGTGTCACCTCCGGGGTGACTGTTGTGAAGCTAAGCAGTGCTAGTCTCGAAGAGAAATCGTCCAGGTCCCAATGCCAGAGATCATCGCCATATCTGCCTGGCTGGCTGGCTGACTCCTCTGTTAAACCTGCCCATGAACTGTTCTTGTTTTCTTTCTTCCTTATTTTTTCCCACTAAACCAGCCTTATCTTATTCTCTCCCCCACCCTCCATCATCCTGCCTGACTCATTCTGCTCCTCTGACTCCAGACAGACAATTTTGACTGTTGAGAGAGAGAGAGAGAGAGAGAGAGAGAGGAGAGAGAGAGAGAGAGAGAGAGAGAGAGAGAGAGAGAGAGCCTGTTTAAAGATATTTTGAACACTCAAATACCATTACCTTACCAGCCAAAATAATCTCTGGAACCAAAATCTTCTATTATCAAAGCAGCTTGGGGGGAGGTTTATTTTCAATTATTTGATTTTGATTGATAAAAAATTATATATGTGGTACAATGTGATACACTCATATATGTACATATTGCATAGTTATTAAATAAAATAACATATCCATCAGCCCGTGGTGTTCTTTTGTAATGAGAACATTTAAAATGTCCTTTGAGCAATATTTAAGTATATATGAAATGTTAACTGTAGCTACCATTCTGTACAATCAGTTCCTGAGGAGCCCTTTCTAACTCAGTTCATAGGTTTCGTCTCTCCTATCAGATCCAGAAGCAATGGGAACGCTGGCTTGAGTCTTTATATCTCACTGTCCTCTCCAAGACACAGAGTGCCATCCAGGGCTCGTGTCGAAAGACAACATCAACGAGCCCGTTTTCACAGACCCAGCTTCTGGATTGTGTCTGGAACAGTTTTTGACCTGATAACAACACAAGAAATTGCTTGGGCTGAGACAATTATTCAAATAATTTTTCAAAAATAAATAGTATGTCTGGGGGTGTAGCTCAGTGGTGGAGAACATTCAGCATATATGATGCCCTTGAGTTCAATCAATGATGAAAAAAGAACTTAATTTTTTTTAAAAAAAGAAACTGTCACTTACGAAATTCACACTATTGTAAAAATCTTTTTTCTTGTCTTTCTCCCCCC